CTGGTGGTGGTGTGGGTCTGGTGGGTGGTGTGGGTCTGGTGGTGTGTGCGTCTGAGGTGGTGTGGGTCTGGTGGTGGTGTGGGTCTGGCTGGGAAGTGTGATCAGGGTAGGTGAGACGCCATCCTGTGTACATCTGTTTTGTTATGTTGTGTTTTGTGTTTTTCTTCTTCCTAGTGTTTTTTTTTCTTTTATTATTCTAAAGTTTTTCATGCGGTTTATTTATTTTATTCAGTTTGGATGTTTTTTTTTTTTTGTCTTTTTTTTATTATATATTGTGTGTTTTATTTTATTGTTCTTTACTTCTCGTTCGTTTTATTTTTTTTATTCACATTCCGTTTCGTTTCATTCGTATTTTTAATTTCGTATTATTCATTTATTTTATTCATTTTGTTATATTTATTACTTGCTTTATTCATGTTCTTAGCTCCCATCTTTATTCAATTACACTTGTCCTCCTTTCTATTTCTTCATTATTGTCTTTGAGATTTTTGTTCATTAAATTCAATTATGTTCAATCTCTTTTTTATTTAATTTATTCATTCATATCATTTATTAATAGTTTCATTATTCTCTTTCATTACTGTATTTTATTATTTCATATTCTTATTTACTCTTAGTTTCTTCATTCACTTTCATTTATCACTATTCTCTCTCTCTCTCTCTCTCTCTCTCTCTCTCTCTTTCTTTGTTTTCTTTATTTTATTACGTTTTCTCGAATTACTGTTTTCTAGAACCAAGAAGAGGTAAGAATAAGGAATAGAAAGAGAGAAAATGAGAGAGAAGGAAAGAAAATGTGAGAGATGGAGGAGAGAAAATGAGAGGAAGGGGAAGAGAGAAAATGTAAAAATGTGAAGAAAGAAGATGTGATGGTGATGATGATGAGGAGGAGGAGGAGAGGAGAGGAGAGGAGAGGAGAGGAGAGGAGATAATGAGGAAGAGGAAAAAACGTGAGGAACAGGGGAGAAGAGGAGATAATGAGAAATGGGAGGAAAGGAAGATAATGAGTTGTATCCATATTTTTTGTAGCTTATTATTCCTATCCTCTCCTCTTCCTCTTTATTGTTTCTTGTCCTCCTCCCTCCTCCTCCACATTTTCTTCCCCTTCCTCATTATCTCCTCTCCTTATCTTCCTTACATACAGTATCTCTTCCTCTTCCTCATTCCTCCCTTCTCCTCCCCCCTCCCTTTTCCCCTCCCCCTCTCTTCCTCTTCATCCTCACCTATAAACTTAATTTACCCCCTTGTTAATTAATTCTGGTCTCAATGTTAACCATAATTAACACTGAGACCAGAATTAATTAACACTGAGACCAGAATTAATTAACACTGAGACCAGAATTAATTAACACTGAGACCAGAATTAATTAACACTGAGACCAGAATTAATTAACACTGAGACCAGAATTAATTAACACTGAGACTAGAATTAATTATGTGACGTTTCCCTCTGATGACGTAACACCCGGACCCAGCACAATTGACAGATACTTATTTTTTTAATGAATTATTATGGTAAAATTATATAATGTTTTTTATAATATCAAGTTTTTGTCTATTTTATGAAAAGTACTAAAAAAAAAGTATATGAAACTGAGTTGATGTTCTTAATATAAATTTTTTTTAATGAATTCTTAAATAATTGTTCAGAAATCAATGGTTATTTTTCTTATATTGAGAAAAACAAAATATTATCCATCTTTAGTTTAAAAAATCTATCTCTATTATCTATCTATCTATCTATCTATCTATCTATCTATCTATCTATATTCTATCTATCTATCTAATGATAAAAAAACAACACTTTGCTTTTGTTTTTGTTGATGTTTGACAGAAGTAATTATAAGAGTCACGAGTTCAAGTATTTATTCGCTAAATCTTGTATCACAAAATGAACAAATAATTATCTTAATCACCCAGTGTGTTCATAAAACAGTAACATATTTCTTAACTAGGGGGAGGACAAGATAACTAGGGGGAGGACAAGATAACTAGGGGAGGACAAGATAACTAGGGGGAGGACAAGATAACTAGGGGAGGATAGAGGACAAGGTAACTAGGGGAGGACAAGATAACTAGGGAGATAAGGAGGATAGCAATTAGGAGGATAAGATAACTAGGGGAGGACATGAGGACAAGAGAGGACATTGAGGAAAGCCAGGTTAGTCTAGGTGGGAAAATCCACTCGGGGGGCAACAGGTCACCGAGGAGAGCTGAGGAGGCTGTGTGGAGGTGAGGAAGTGCCTGATGCTGCCCCCTCCTCTGCGGGACTCCCACCATCCACCCACCATCACCATCATCCACTATCGTCACTACCGGTCATCATTAATATCACTCATCATCACCATCACTATCATCATCATATCATCACTATCACTATCATTATCTTCATTATTACCTTCATCATCATCATCATTATTATGCGTCATCATCATCATCATCATCATCATCATTATTATTGCTCATCATCATCATCATCATCATCATCACTATCATCAACATCATCATCATCATCATCATCACTATCATCAAAATCATCATCAGCATCATCATCATCACTAACAATAACATTATCACTATTATCACCACCACCACCAGTGCATAACCTGTATTACAACATTAGCACCACCATTTCACTGACATCACAACCCGTCTTTTTGAGTTATACAAATACAACAACAATAATAATAATAATAATAATAATAATAATAATAATAATAATAATAATAACGATAATAATAATAATAACGATAATAATAATAATAATACTGGAGACATAATTTGATAATGATTAGATAATTAAAACTTTATTAAATTTAGTACAATCACTAACTTAATGATTGATGATATAATGATAATGATAATGATGATGATGAATATGATATAGAGAACCATGTCATTAATTAAGATAAGGTGAATAAATTATAATATACTTATACAAAATAATATATAAACAAGCCCATTGGTCAAAGTTCATGGTTAGTGATCATGTGAGATTATCTTTTGTTTAAGGTCTGGTTGGCTGTTCAGGATTCGTCATTGACTCGTAACATTGACCTCTCCAACTTAGCTTTCATACAAACTTGACTTGAAAAATTCTCTCTCACTTACGTTCTTTCCGCACCTACATCCTTCTTCACCTCACTAGATTAAAATTAGAAGTGAGCTCTATTAGTTAGGGTACAGCAGGAGGGTACACGTCAGGAGGCAGTTCTCTGGAAAAGTTGTCCAGTTTCATTTAATTCCGGGAAACAAGTTGTGTGTGTGTGGGGGGGTATTTTGTGTGTTTTGTGTGTGGGGAGGGTGTTTTGTGGTGTGTGTGTGTGTGTGTGTGTGTGTGTGTGAGTGTGTGTGTGTGTTCCACCCTGTGCATGCTTGATACAGCTTTCAGTCGTATGTCACTTAGTTGAATAACCCAGGGCGTTGAAGGACACACACACACACACACACACACACACACACACACACACACACACACACACACACACAAGCAAAGTGTGTTATTATCTCTGATTACACACCCGACGTGTACTGCATCAAGGGGAGGGACGGAGGGAGGGGAGGCGTCGAAATGCACCAGGCCTCCAACACTAAAAGTTCTGGTTTGTGACGACTGAGTTTTACACCACATGACATCATCTCTATTCTTCACCACCTGAGGAAATTACTCCACTACTCACAACCAACAACACCCACGCCCACTAACACACCTCTTCAAACGATAAAAAGGTAATAAAGAAAAAAAATAGCTCCACGTTGCTCACCCAAGAATAAAAAATAGGGTGACATCAGCATCAGCCTTACCTCACGAGGTACCGGGAAGAGACGAGACGAATCCTCCCTCGGCATGTTTGTGAGGGTGATTCAGGCGACCTTCCCCGAGGCTACCGAGCACCCAGGGCCACACAGCTGCCTCTCCGGGATGACGGAACCTGGTTGCTACTCCCCACCCTCACCCACCCTCACCTACCATCACCTGAACCTCTTTCCCTTCCTCGCTGCGCAGGCAGAACGTGGGAAGTATGGGGTGTGGCGTGGAAGAGAGGTGCGTGGAAAGGGGTGATGAAGGTGGAAACGGGTAAGTGAGGAAAATGGAGAAGGTGATGTAAGGGTGGAAGGGGTAAGGTTGGAGGGAAGTGGTTTGAGGGAAGAGTTGTAGTGTGGAGTGGGGTGGGGATGGCATCGGCTTCAAGGCAGGCAGCGAAGTAAGTCTGTCACGTGTATTTGTGTTTACTGTACAAATTAATACCTGTGAATTTGTTTGAGCACAGGTAAATCTTGTTGTCCTCTGCCGTCCTGAGGGGTGGAGTGGTGGTGGTGGGGGGGGGGGGGGGAGGATGGGAAGAGGGAGGGGTGGTAGGAAGGAGGAGGTGGAGATGGATATAGGAAGACTTATAAATACCCACAAATTCATCAATATTCTCGGCTGATCATGCGTCCATCCCTGTACCCTCATAAAACTAACAGTTCCTTGACAAAAAAAAAAGACTCACCCAGACGTGCCTATTCATCACAATAAGATGTCAGGTTAGGTTAGTAATTAGTTTTTTTGGGGGGGTGAGTTATTCTAGACTATAATTATGACGTCATAGATGTTGTTGTGGGGTAGTGAGGACCTTCGCGGAGTAATACAAAAGCAAACAATGAATGAAAGGTGTTTGTACTATAATCATGATGTCACAATACCAGGCACTACTTTTTTCCTTATATAATTGAAGTTGTCCTTATGTGTATACAAGGACTTTACCCGTTTAAAAGATAATACTAACTTAGCCATTAATGACCTCAGATGTCGACATATTAAGTCGAATATTCTCTGTTGTCAGCACAGTCACATAACCTTATTGGTCAGCACTTTGAAATAACCTCAGATGTCAGCGCGTTCATAAATCACAGTTATCAGCATGTTCAAAAGAATAACCTCACCTGTCATATGTCAACACCTTAAATATTCACAATTGTCATTGATTTAACCTCAGTTGTCAGCAAATAAACCTTAGTTGTCAGCAAATATCCTCAGGTGTCAGCACATTAAACTCAATTGTCCGCACATTAGTCTCAGTTGTCAGCACATCATCCTCAGTTATCAGCATATTAGTCTCAGTTATCAGCACATCATCCTCAGTTATCAGCACATCATCCTCAGTTATCAGCATATTAGTCTCAGTTATCAGCACATCATCCTCAGTTATCAGCATATTAGTCTCAGTTGTCAGCACATCATCCTCAGTTATCAGCATATTAGTCTCAGTTATCAGCACATCATCCTCAGTTATCAGCATATTAGTCTCAGTTGTCATCACATCATCCTCAGTTATCAGCATATTAGTCTCAGTTGTCAGCACATCATCCTCAGTTATCAGCACATCATCCTCAGTTATCAGCATATTAGTCTCAGTTATCAGCACATCATCCTCAGTTATCAGCATATTAGTCTCAGTTGTCAGCACATCATCCTCAGTTATCAGCATATTAGTCTCAGTTATCAGCACATCATCCTCAGTTATCAGCATATTAGTCTCAGTTGTCATCACATTAAGTAAACATCAATGATACGAGTGATGCCAAGCCCAGGTAACTCTCTCAGGTGACTATAAAGGAACACACACACACACACACACACACACACACACACACACACACACACACACAACCCGGGTTCCGTGCCTCGTATACCATGATCTGGTATATTTCTTATGGTGATGACAAGTCCTTCTCGTGTTGGGTCCAGTAAATGAATCGGGTTTGATTTTTGTTTTTACTCAGGTTCAGTAAATGACTAGAAGTGTTTTTTGTTTGTTTACTTGTGTGGGTTTTTATTTGTTCTGTATTGTTGATTGTTGTTGTTGTTCTCTTTTGTAGTCGATTGTTTTTGTTGTCTTTTTATTCTTTATTCATTTTCTCTTCTTCCTTTCTTCCTCCTCCTCTTCCTCTTACTTCTTGTTATGTTTCTACTTTTTCTTTTTCTTCTTCTTCCTCTTATGTTCTATTCTTCTCATCATCATAGATATTATTATTATTATTATTATTATTATTATTATTATTATTATTATTATTATTATTATTATTATTATTATTATTATTATTATTATTATTATTATTATTATTATTATTATTATTATTATTATTATTATTATTAAAACAAAAGTTGTCACTCCAGGTACCTGTACGTTCATTACATCATCAATACAGTGGAAATACCTGTTACCTTAAACTTATTTTTCACGGTCTCTCTCTCACTCGTTCTTATGTCAGTTAAGAATACTCAGGAAAACCGATAAAAAAGATGTATACGTTGATAAGTAAATAAATAAATCAATTAATATAGAAAGAATTAATTAGATGATGGTGTATAATTTTTAATATATAAACACTGATAAAGAGATAGATTAGCTGTTTCAAGGTGTTTGTCTATTGAGTTAATCCATGAAACGAGATTTAATTGAGGGTGATTGTCTAATGAGGTTCTCTTCTGTGTGTTGTAGCCCTGAAGTAAGACCTATTTAGGGAGTTTGACTATTGAGTGTTGGCCCTGACGATGACGTCCTGTATACGTCTTTCTTACCTCCCAGTGTCTCCCCGCCAGGTCAGGGCACAGTTGAGGCACTCTTGGCCTCCCAGTGACCCCGTGTTAGGGAATCAATACCTCCCAGTGACCCCGTCTGAGAGAATTTTGACCTCCCTGACCCTGTGACCCTCTCTTAGGGAAATCTTAACCTCCCAGTCTTAAGAAATCATGACCATTTAGTGACCCCGTCTTAAGGAATCTTGACCATTTAGTGACCCCGTCTTAAGGATTCATGACCTTCTAATGACCCCGTTTTAAGGATTCTTGACCTTCTAATGACCCCGTCTTAAGGATTCTTGACCTTCTAATGACCCCCCTCTTAAGGATTCATGACCTTCTAATGACCCAGTCTTAAGAGATCATGACCATTTAGTGACCCCGTCTTAAGGAATCTTGACCTTTTAATGACCCCGTCTTGAGGAATCTTGCTTGACGATGACAATTCAACTTGTCGTTAAATCTGAAAAACCTTCCCTGGTGATTGTGTCTTTAAGTTTGATGGATAAGGAAAGAAAATATCATTAAACAATTTATAACTTTCGAAATTTTGATTAAAAAAAGTTACTTCACCTTAGTGCGGATAACCTCACCATAATCCAGACAACCTCACCATAATCCAAACAACTTCACCATAATCCAGACAACTTCACCATAATCCAGACAACTTCACCATAATCCAGACAACTTCACCATAATCCAGACAACCTCACCATAATCCAAACAACTTCACCATAATCCAGACAACTTCACCATAATCCAGACAACCTCACCATAATCCAGACAACTCCATGTTAATCCGGACAACTTCACCATAATCCAGACAACTTCATGTTAATCCGGACAACTTCACCATAATCCGGATAACTTGAGTGAACAGATTCAGGTATGGAACCTTTATTATGGAACAGGTTTTCTCAGATATGCGGATTACTTGATCGTGTGAGCAATTCTAATGGAGCAGAACGCCTTTCACCGAGAACGTCCCGGGAACGTAATAACAGGCCACTCCATCATCCTTGATTGTGATTGCCTGAAAACATGCACTGAACGGACGATGGACGAGCTAGCCACCCATGGGAGCAGGCTTCAGTTTTGTATTTCAATAGTTAAGAATATTTTTATTTTATTTTTTTTTTTACTTTTTTTTTAATCGTATTTCACGTTAAAACTTTTCAATCACCAATGATTTCCTTGATTTTTCGTGGCTTTAATTCAGAGATCACATGTATAGTTATGTTGTGAATGAGTGGTACCATTTTTTTTTTTCAATTATTTATTTTATTTTTATTTTTGGGGAGAAATTAAATCAAAAACCTGGGGAAAAATATTTGATGCTAAGAATCATTGTTGGGTTTAGTCATTATAGTGTTATCATTCACTCCTTCATTCTTCTTGGTCTGTCGATAGTTAGGTTAGGTTAGGTTAGGTTAGGTTCGGTTAGGTTAGGTTAGGTTAGGTTAGGTTAGGTTAGGTTAGGTTAGCAAAAACGTCTTTGGTCATAGAAAGTCTCAATAATAACCGAAGCAAAAAATAAAGCAATAAACACAGATTAATAAAAATAAGAAAATATCAATTAAAAAAGAGGAATTAGATCAAGAAATTTAAAAAAAAGAAGAAGATAAAATTAGGAAAAATAAGCAGAAAAAAAAATAATTATTTGTTGGACACGTCAGAGGAGTGGGTTTAGGCGGTCTTCCTCACCCACCCCTGTTTCTTGAGCGAGCTTCTGATGGCTGATTGTCAAGCCAGGTAGGTACTCAAGGGCCCTTATGATGCCATGGTAACGACAGCACCAACAGCATCTCTCTTACTTTCTCTTTCTCTCTCTCTCTCTCTCTCTCTCTCTCTCTCTCTCTCTCTCTCTCTCTCTCTCTCTCTCTCTCTCTCTCTCTCTCTCTCTCTCTCTCTCTCTCTCTCTCTCTCTCTCTCTCTCTCTCTCTCAGACGTGTTTCTTTCCACTTTTTTCTACTGGATCAATTTCTACTTGTCTCTCAACCACTCACCTGGATGAAGACGATGGATGAGTGTGCAACTATTTTTTTCTCTCTCTCTCTCTCACTCTCGAATCTCCTATTGGTGTAAATGGTTCCTCTTTTCTCATTTCTCTTTAATATTTATTTTTCCCCCATGCTGTTTATCTCTTATTCTTGTTAGGGTATATAGCTCTCATTACTTTATTTTTTTAATTTTGTTACTCTAAATTTGGTCTTTTCTTTTCGTCAAATATCAATACGTCTCTTTATATTGCGCTGCCAGGTGTACGACTATTACCTTACTAATACAGGTATAAATAGTTATTAATAATTTGTGTTTTTTTATTTTATTTTACCGATGGTGGATATTTTAGTCTCCCTTTAATACGAGTATCTAAAGAGTGTCACGGTATCGATAATGAATAAACAATGATGATGTTAATGATAATTGTAGTAAACGTAATAATAATAATAATAATAATAATAAAATAAAAACAGTAATTATAATTGTTTACCTAATTTTACTACCGACCATAATAACACTGCCCTACCCTCCCTTCCTTCTTCCCTCCCTCCCTCCACCCCTCTCTCCCTCCCTCCCTTCCTTCCTCCTTCCCTCCTTCTCTCCACCCCTCCTTCCCCACCACCCCATCCCTCCCACCAACCCTCAACCAACCAAACATCGCAAAAACAAAACACTACTTCTGTGTGTCTTTGTTTGAAATTTAAATAACCTTTTATATATCTTTGTTTTTCATTTCACAAACTTTTATTTCCAGAACCCTTAAAATAAGCACCCGGAATCTCTATAGTTACAAACATTAAATTGTAATCAGACCTTCCAATTGCTGACTTGATTCCTTCTCCCGTAACCAAAATCCACAACAAAGTCGAGAATTTATATATATATATGTGTGTGTGTGTGGAACCCTCTCCCTGATCTCGATAGGGGTTAAGAGCCTCTGTTTTTTCACTCAACTTGTGAATTTTAAGTTACAAAATGACCTGTATTGTATATATATATATTTTTTTTTAACATCGATCTATACTTAGAAATAGTTTATATAGTTTTAGTTTTTATTTGTTTATGTTATAGGATTATGTTGTGTTGTTTTGGACCAGGTGGGTAATTCTGTAGTCCTTCCCAGTTTGGAGACGCTGAGATATGAAAGGGAAGGAGGTTTATTGGCCATTGTATAAGCGAAGGTCGAGTGTGTGTATTACGTGAAGTGGGATTGTTGGAGAGACAGACAGACAGAGAGAGAGAGAGAGAGAGAGAGAGAGAGAGAGAGAGAGAGAGAGAGAGAGAGATCACAGCTTTACTTACACATAAAGTCAACCTTCTCAATTAAACCCCTACAACATATCGCTACTATACCCATTCGTTCCTAAACCTATAACGAGGTTTATTTTTAACGTTATTCGGTTAATGATTATTTACAGTATATTTTTTTTTATAAGTATTGAATTGTTGATAAAATTACATTATTGATTTATACATGTACAAAAGTCACGTCACACACACACACACACACACACACACACACACACACACACACACACACACACACACACACACACTGGAATTTGAGATGGTGAGACTGAATTCTAATGTAAGGAGCTTGTATATGTTTTAATCCCTTAAGAGTGAAGAGGTTTCCCCTTTCCTCCCTTTTCTCCTCCTCCTCCTCCTCCTCCTCCTCCCTCTCCTCCCTCCTCCTCTAACTCCTCCTGCTTCTCTACCTTCCTTTTATCTCCTCCTCTCACCACCTCTCACTCCCTTTCCTCCTCCCCCTCCCCCATTCACCCCCTTTCCTCCCACTCCCTTCTCTCCTCCTCCCCTTCACCTGCTTACCCCTCCTTTCCCTCCTCCCACTCCTCCCTTCACCACCTGCAAAGGGAAGAGAGAAAGAGGAGGAGGAGGAGGAGGAGGAGGAAGGATAAGAGTAGAGTGAAGGAAATTGATAAAGAT